AAAAAAAAAAAAAAAAAAAAAGAAAAAGGGAAACCTAACAGACCATAATCATAGTGAAAACCAGCAACATAGTAGCCACTGGAAGGGCTACTGGCAGAATGTGGTTGGAGCTCATTTCCAGACAATTGTTATTATATGACGTTTTTGGTGGTTCCTGGAAAGACTTCACTTGCAAAGCGGTCTTTATTTGACCCTACTTCCATCTCACTAAATGAAGAAATCTGTTTTCTTAAGGACATTTGTCAAAAACATTTAGAGCCAAATGTTTAACTTTGTGGCTGCCTGATGCAATAGACAACAGTTGGGTCAAATAATAGGCTAAACCAAAAAACTTAAAAGAAAAAGCTGGAGAATGATAGTCTATAAAGGCTTTGGAAAACTTCAACATGTTGTTAGGAATTTAGAAGGTCATGCACATGTGTAAAGCTGCACACAGGTCCAGGGCTAGGGCTGTGTGGATACTCTGGAAAGACCTGTGAATGTCCTAGTTTCTCACCTTTGGGTGACCTTGAGGTTCTGTGCTTGCAAGAAGTAAAGACTAAGGTGAAATTGTCAACTGACTGGCTGCATATTCAAGGTATGCCCCAACATACATGCAGAGCCACTCAGCAAAGACTGGAAGAGCTATCGGTTTCATGTGTTTAAGAACACATCTGTTCAATTGTTAGCAACCACTAAGCTAATGAGCAACATTTCACTGACCAAGCGAAATGAAGAGTACTGCTTTTACAGAATTAGTTCAGAAAAGTTACTAAATGAGAACACAAGAACAATGAGCAATAATAAACCCTGAGGAGGAGAAATTCTGGCTTTCAGAGTTTCCACATTATATTATGGAAAATGTCCAGCTTCCAACAAAAGTTATGAGAAATGCAAATAAATAAGTATGGCCCGACCAAGAATAAGTAAATTGATAGAAACTGTCCCTGAGGAAGCCCAAATGTTGGAATAAGTAGTCAAAGACTTTAAATTGACTATTTTAAGTATGTCTTAAAAATCTAAAAGAAATATGTTTATAGAACTTAAGTGTCAGTGTTGGTGGGACTGTAAACTAGTTCAACCATTGTGGAAGACAATGTGGCGATTCCTCAGGAATCTAGAACTAGAAATACCATTTGACCCAGGCATCCCATTACTGGGTATATACCCAAAGGATTATAAATAATGCTGCTGTAAAGACACATGCACACGTATGTTTATTGCGGCACTATTCACAATAGCAAAAACTTGGAATCAACCCAAATGTCCAACAATGATAGACTGGATTGAGAAAATGTGACACATATACACCATGGAATACTATGCAGCGATAAAAAAGGATGAGTTTATGTCCTTTGTAGGGTCATGGATGAAGCTGGAAACCATCATTCTGAGCAAACTATCACAAGGACAAAAAACCAAACCCTGCATGTTCTCACTTGTAAGTGGGAATTGAACAATGAGAACACCTGGACACAGGAAGGCGAACATCACACACCGGGGCCTGTTGTGGGGTGGGGGGATGGGGGGATAGCATTAGGAGATATACCTAATGTAAATGACGAGTTAATGGGTGCAGCACACCAACATGGCACATGTATACCTATGTAACAAACCTGGACGTTGTGCACATATACCCTAGAACTTAAAGTATAATAAAGTAAATAAATAAAATAAAAAATAGAAAAAAGATATAGAAACATAGTCTAGATGAAATAAGTACTCATTGTTTCTACTTCAAAAATGCGAATTCTTTGTAGTTAAATTTGAATGGTATATATAGACATTGATTCCTATCTTTTGCAATCCATTCAATAAATTGAGTTATTGCTGTTAAAAAAATAAAACTTAAGTGTCAGAACAATTTTGTACCAGACAGGGACTACCAAGAAAGATATGAAAATTATTTTTTAAAGACTAAATAGAAATTCTGGAGCTGAAAGTATAATAACTGGAATAAAAAATTCACTAGAAGGACTAAACAGCAAATTTGAACAAGTGAAAGAAAGGATCATTGAACTCGAGGATAAGTAAATGGAGATTATCCAGTCTAAGACACAGAAGGAACAAGGAAGGAAGAAAAATGAACAGAGTTTTAGAGACTTCTGTGGTACACAAGTGTATCATCCTACACATAATGGGAATCCTGGAGGGAGAGAAGAGAGCAAAAGGGGTAGATTGAATATTTAAAGAAATAATGGCTGAAATTTTCAAAATCTGATGAAAAAAATTTCTCTGTGTATTTAAGAAGCTCAATGAACTCCGTGTAGAATACACTCAAAGAGATTCATACCTAGACAAATCATAAACAAATTGAACAAAGAAATCATCTTGAAAGTAGGAAGAGTAAAGTGACTCATCACTTACGAGGGATCCACAAGTATATTAACTGATTTTTCATCAGAAACCATGAAGGTCAGAGACAGTAGGATGGTATAGCCAATGTATTCAAAGAAAAAGACTGTAAGCCAATAAATCCATCAAAACTGTTTGCAAAAATAAAAGAGAAATAAAGACATTCCAAGATAAGCAAAAATTGAGAGAATACCATATACAAAAATTAACACAAAGTGGATTAAAGACCCAAATGTAAGAGCTAAAACTATAAAATACTTAGAAGGAAGTACAACAATCAAAGAAAAAAATAGATCAAAGGACACCATCAAGAAAGTAAAAAGATAAGCCCCCAAGTGGAAGAAATAACTTGCAGTAATAGATACACACACACACGTGTCAAATGTATACCCTTGTCAGATATTAATGAGTTAATTTTTTATGTGATGTGAGGGGGAGTTGAACTTTATTCTTTAGCATGTGGCTATTCAATTGTCCCAGCACCATTTGTTGAAAAGATGTTGATTTGAGGGAAACGATCATTAGTTTAGCAGGTCACTGACATGCAAACATAGTCTTTATGCTTGATATAGTTTGGATATATGTCTCCATCCAAATCTTATATTGAATTGTAATCACCAGTGTTGGAGGTGAAGCCTGGTGGGAGGTATTGGAATCAAGGGAGTAGATCCCTCAAGAATGGCTTGGGCCATCTCCTTCGTAATAAGTGAGCTCTTGCTCTGAGTTCACACGAGATCTGATCCGTTAAAAGTGTACAGCACCTCCTGCCACCACTGTCTTTCTCTCGTGCTCCTATTTTTGCCATGTGAAGTGCCTGCCCCCGGTTTGCCTTCCACCGTAATTGTAAGTTTCCTGAGGCCTCTTTATAAGCCAAGCAGATGCCAGCACCATGCTTCATATAAAGCTTGCAGAACCGACAGCCAATTAAACCTCTTTACTTATAAATTACCCTATCTCAGGTGTTTCTTTGTAGCAACGCCAGAATGGCCTAATACAATGCTCAATGCTCCAACTGGGGAATTTCCCAAACTGCATTTTGCAAATTGGATTCATGTTAAACATATAGCCATGGATGCTAGTTTGTTTGACAGGATGAACAGAGAAATAACACGTAGGAATATGGTATTTCTGAAAACTTGCTTTACTCAAGTATCACTGCAGCATTTTTTTCTATAGCCACTTACCAACTCTTCCCTCAACTTTTTCTATTAATTTATCTATAATACATAGCTAATTAGAAATTTTTAAACTCTATTAAACACATCATAAGTGTTATTTGTAAAATCACGAGTTTATTGTGTTTGTAATAGTTCCTCCAACAAATATTGGAATAAATACTCATTAAAGATAAAGATTATCCACTTAATTCCCCCCAATTTTTTAGGAGCATTAAGGCCTATGAATAACCTATTTGGGGAGACACTTGTGTTTGGAAAGAGCCTTCCTTCTGTGGAAAGTTATTTGACCAGAGTTTTAGTTTCCAATATATTGGGTTTGTGATCTTTGGTGAGCACGGCAGATCTATGGCCTTATATGTAAACAGTGAGCAAGGTATGTTACCTGTATTACCTATCATTACCAAGGGCCTTCTGGAAGCCAGGATCTTCCTATCAGACATTACCTGGTCAGGTTGTTCATTACCTCCTGTTGTGGGTGGAATTGTGTCTCCTTCAAAATATATTTTTAAATACTGACCCCTGGTATCTGTAAATGTGACCTTATTTGGAAGTAGTCTTCTCAGATGTAGTCAATTTAAGATGACACTGGATTACGGTGTGCCCTAAATCCAACCACTAGTGTCCTTATAAGATGAGGAAGATTTGGACACACAGACGCCCTGGGAGAGTGCCAATGACAATGGAGGAATAGTTTGAGTGAGGTGTCTATAAACCAATGAATACTCAGGATTGCTGGCAACCACCTGAAGCTAGGAGAGGCAATGAAGGATCCTTCCCCAGAGACTTTAGAGGGAATGTGGCCCTGTTGGCACATTGATTTCAGACTTTTAGCCACCAGAAGATAAATCTCTGTTGTTTTAAGCCGCCCAGTTAGTAGTAATTGGTTGCAGAGCCCTAGGGAACGAATACACCTACATTTTCTCGTCTATGTCAGCTAGATGAGGGCAGGGATCTCTCATTTATTTTGTTCACTGCTGATCCTCAGATCCTGGAACAGTTTCTCACACACTGTAAATGCTTAATTCATATTTTTTGAGTGAATGCATTAATAAGGTCTCTTAACAGTTCTGAGAGTTATACACTTATTGTATTCTGAAGAAACCAAGCCTGGGAGAGTTTGTAAAACATGTTCAAGGTTATACAGAATCCTAGATACATCTAATTTCAAAATCTCTGCTCCTTTCACTGTACTATGCCCACTGCAAAATAAAGAA